ACCCTAAAAATTGGCCGGTACAAGGTGCGCGCAGTTGCGAAAATTATCAACCGGAGTTTGGCCTTTTTTTCAACTTTTTTATCTTTAGATTTTTGCTTGGTTTGTAAGCATATTCAGCTTAGGACGAGCGGTAAACATATGCATCTGCGAGGTGCATGGTCAGGATAAGAAATTCAGCTGTCCGACTCCCATAGTGGCAATTGTGTACGAACTTTATGTCTACTTTTGTCATTTTTGCAACCTACTTAGGTATTGTCAAGTTCAAAAAATTGGAAATCTCAAGAAAAGAACTCCCAACGAGTAAAGTTGAATCCATCATTTCGGGTATGTCCATACTTCATAACGATTGGTCGACCCTTATAAAGCTTGCAATAAGAATCGGACAGGGCGCGCGGCAGTTGCGTTGCTGCGCCGTAGTCAAATATCATTTTGCCAGAGGTTTCGTTCTACCTTTCGGCGCACCTGCTGACGATTCCTCAGAACTCTAACACAACTTGAAGAAAAAGTGAGTCAGATTTGAAGAAAGTGCGGAAGGGCAGGGATAGTGGCGAGCGCCAAATCAGTACTCAAGAGGGGCCGCAACGCAACCGCCGCCTATCCTCGATCGGCCGATTCTTGTTGCGCTTGTAAGCTTTATAAAGGTTGGCCGATCTTATCCGACCGATCCTTATGAAGTGTGGAAATACCCTTAAGGTTACTACAAGATGAAAGGTTGAATAAAGGCAATAAGTGATTATTGGCCCCTCCGGCGCAGATCTCTGTCATCAAGATTGCTCTCCGACTTTACTGCGCTATTCCCCGTTACTGGCAGCGCACGTCTCGCGGATTATTTTAGCAGTAGAATTCGAAACACATTATAAACCCATGCGGAATGTTTATTGCTGCTCTATCTTCCTAAGTTTAGCTTATTGGAAATTTTTTTTAGGATGGCGGAGTTGGCGCATGCCATTCCGGCGGTGGACATGATCAATGCCACTTCGAGGCTTCAAATTGAAGCTGCCGAGGTGCGTTCAGTGTATAGCTATTTCATTTCGATCACCTAACATTTAACTCTCTTAAAACTCTTAACGCTCTTAACAGTGTATCTCACCACGTAAACTTT